TTTAAGTTGTTGTCTTTGACTCATTAAATCCTTGTGTCATCATCCTGAAAGGAGAGATTATGGTGTTAGGAGGTTGTCACCTCATGAGGAAAAAAAAATAATGTTAAACTGGCCTAAGTTCCTGATTGCATTAGGTTTAACTGTTCTTTACCTCAGGTCGCCTCCACCCTAGCAGATGTCTTTGGGCTGATCGCTTTATTGTCTTAGGGCGCCCCAAAATCTTTGCTTCTTAAATCGATGTGTGTCTTTAAATACCCAAGACATCAGTTTGTGTCTTTCAATGGCCAAGTTCATGTAACTTTATTCTTTTTTCCATTTCATGCTTTGAAAAGCAGAAAAAGGTCTTTGGGGTTTTTCTTCAAGGAATTTGACTCATGGTAAAGTTTTAAATAGTATGTTTGAAAAAAATCTCACAATCATTTACCAATATGTAATAATGAACGTTTGTAAAGACTCCCAAGTGTGAGTCAGGAGGGACTTCTACAAACTAGTCTAACTTGAACATAAACACAGGATTATATTTATCCTTCTTTGTAAAACAAGCTGATCTTTTTGCTTTTCTGAAAACACTTGGAAAACTCCTTGGACTACCAGTTTACCAGGGAAATTGAGCGTGCAGTTGAAAATGGTGTTATCCCAAAATAATTGTGAAATCATGATATAAACTCTGATTTCAGTGCAGTCACAACTATACATGTTCCCTCTGGAAACGTTTGTGTTTCAGCTGTCTCTCCTGTCTTATTTAGGAGCTTTGAGAAATTGGCAGGTGCAAAATAAGATTTTTCAGAGGAGTCGGGATGAAGGACATGTGTATATGTGCACACTGGCTTGACATACAATTGAGATTTAGTCTTAGCATGTGTGACCAGATTGTATCTTTAAGTTTTATGGGCTGACACTGAAACAAAGTCAGACCTTGATTTACAGTAAAATGCCAACAGGAAAGTCTAATAATGTTTTCACGATCTAAGAACCTCATAAACTGAATTTGACTCATTCACATGTGCCACTCATATGTATTTATTCATTCATTCATAGAGTCCATCTGTGTCTCTATTCATCTATGAGAAAGCTTGACCTTGGGTGTAGAGTTCTTGACATGATATACTTTTCAGTTTGTTGGTGAAACTTAAAAGTAAGAGGAAACAGCCTCTGGCTCCCAGACCTTAAGTCCAGTAACAGTGGTTAAGACCACACATTTTTGAGACTGACACATTTGGACTAGAATCCTAGCCCTTCTACTTTCTGTCCTTAAGCAAACTTACATGATTGCTAATAAAATTAAATAAGACAATGTTCTTCAGCATTTAAACTTGGTACTCAACACATAGTACTCTTTAGAAGCTATCGTTATCACTATAATCATTATTATTAGCTATGCACCATTAAATCAGATAAATTCCTTGGACTATACTATGTACCTGGTAAGAAATGGGACAAGGAGAACATGACAAGTGAGTGAAGAAGGGCCTGATATTTCAGAGATGCTAGGGCTGATAATCTATTTAGTATTCATTCAGCTCTCACTCAAAGCAGAACATCAATTTTTAAGAAAATATCATACTACTCAGGCATTAAAAAAAGAAAACAAGAACCTGGGATTCTATAGAAGTGTACAAATATGGAAGATTTACGGCAGAGTGAAGCAAGTCAGGCTATGAAAGAGAGACACTGTATGTCTCCATTTAACGTATACTGACTGTCTTTACTCTATGGTGGAAACTGAAAGACTGGAGGACATAGAAGCATTGAAAATGGTTATAGATTCTGGAGACAATATGAGAGGAGGGTAGGAGAAGGAGGAGAGTGTAAGGAAGGAAATTAAGGAGGAAAGAGTGTAAGGAAGGAAATTAAAGAAGAAATAAAGAGGCGGGACATTTATGTGACACAGAAGTGGTTACTATTGGTTGATGATAATGTGTTTAGTATCCTCAACTGGACTGGTGTGAAGTATATTTATGTTCGATAAATTCAACTTACAAACAAACCAAAACAAAAAAATGCTAAATTAAAGTCCTTCCTCGAGATGTTAATATTAGAAGAAAACAATTAAGGTAAACTCTCCCATGATTTCCAAAGTAACCGTCAGGGTCCACCTTGACATGGATTGAGACAATGCATTTTCAATATGAAAATACCACCAGGAAGTTTATGTTCTTATAGCCCAAGAATCTTGTAAACTACATTTCACTCATTTGTCATGGTCTCTACATTTTGTGAGATGTCAGCGAGGCTAGGAAAACAACATATTCAGCAGTCATTTCGCCTGCGTTGCTTGTGGCCACTGTGAGGAGAGTTCTAGTTTGAAGTCCATTCATGCCAGGTATGCATCTCCTGGCTGTGTGTCCAGCTATAAAGCATACTTGGCATCTCGGTCCTGGGCTACAATTCCATGCATTCATGTGTCCGGGTTTAGTGAGTACCTACTATGTACAGAACATTGTCCTTAATGTCCGAGCATGAAGAAATAGCAGTAAAGCCACAGGACATCCAACTAGCCCATTCCAAGGACCCCGAATGAAATTGATAAGAGAAAAATGACCCTGACAGACACAAAACGTGAAGTCTGCAGTGCGGGATCCAAGAAAACAAATGGCTTCCAGTTTCACAAGAGACTCATCTCTCAAATCAATCATTGAACTAGGCTAGACCAGGGCATCTCTCAGTGTAGGCTGGGGACTGGTAACTTTCTGCAAAACATTTATTGCTGCTCTCTACTGATACAAGTACAGAAATCAACAGTAAGTTTAGAAACTTTTCCAGCAATTCAGCATTACCACTGACATCTAGATGATGACCATTTGGGTGTCATCAGATCTCCTGGTCAGTTATGTGTGGCCACAGCTGTGTGAAAGTCTTGTGTAGTAGAACTGTGTCTTGTCCGTAATGAATGAGAATGTCTTTCAATAGTCTTCCACTTCGAATAGCTTGAGAATCACTGATTTATGTGCATAGCATTCTTTTTTAAAAGAACAATTATTTTATTTTATGTATTATTTCTTATTTGCTATAGGGCACATGCACTCACCAGAAAGAGACAGAGAGAGAGGGGGGGAAGGTGACAAAGCAAGCCTCCAGGTCCAGGATGTGAACCATAGTCAACCATGTGAGAATCCACCACTCCAACCACCATGCCACCTGCTGGCTCTGTTTATAGCATTCTTGAACATTTTCTCTTTAGGTTTAATTTTGGTATGTATCTAATAGTTTTGTTTTTCATTTTGCTCTGAGTACTTCTTTCTTTGAACCTGCTTATGTCTGTCTCTGTCTGCTACAGTTATCCTTTGTCATCTACTTGGTACACAGTTAACTCCAAGGAAAGCTCTAGAACCTTTATGTTTTGAGCAGAACCCAAAATTCCAGTCTACTGTCGCATCCAAGGCTTTTCCAACCAGAACTAAGGGGCTCTTTCCCCTCCTCTACCCACCCACACTCATCTCTCTGTCTTCATGCTACCCTGCTATGGAGTTGTTACCACAATTTTTCTGAGTGCACCAACCTGAGGACCACATCCCAGTCCTTGTATGCCCCTCCCTTCCTAGAGTCTAAGATGACATATTCGGGGTCGCCTCAAGTATGGTCCATCAATCCAGGGCCCTGGCAGCACGTGGCGCTTGTAAGAAATGAGAACTCAGGCCACCCAGACTCCTGAACTGGAAGCTCTGGAGAGGGTCCCAGGAATTTGTGTTTTCACTAGCTCTCCTGGAGATTCGGAGGCCTGAGTAGGAGGTAGTGCTTGAGCACACGCTAAACTCTCAGTAAAGGCAAGGGTCTGCCACCTAGCGGGCACACAGGGGATGTGCACCGTTTGTCCCTCTTGACTGCACCTGGGCAGCCAGTTCGGTCTCTCCATTCTTGAGGGGGCCTTTCCTTAGGACTATCTTACCTGAATGGCTAAATGGATGGTCTTCATCACTGTGCCTGATATCAGATCCTTCTGGGACTTGAGCCCTTCTGAGAATCCCACCCTGTTTGACTGGTGCCCTAATCTTCCCGAGTTCTTACGAGGCTTCTCTTTGCCCTTTGAACCATCCTAAACTTCTCTCCAGGGACACAGGGGCCCACCAGTCTCACAAGGATGAGTTCTAAAAATGCATAAACTTTCTAAGCCGGATCCTATTTTCCCTGCTGACCCCAAACAGTGAGGCCTTCATCCTCGAATATTTGCCCTTACTGCAAACATATCAGGGACCTTTCTGAAACACTGGAACCAGGTGGGAGAGACAAGGCCGGACTTTACAGGTAACAGCAATGTAGTGATCTCCTAGAAAATTCTCTGTAGGTCTGCTCTATGCTTACTATTAAAAAAAAAAAATTTAAGTTAAAAAAGAAAGATAGAAAGAAAGAAAGGTCTCCAATACCCAAAAATGAAAAAAAAAAAGTCAAAATAATTTTAATAACAAGTTACATGTGTTTTCTCACTATGAGATTGCCCTATATGTTCATTGTAGAGAACATTTAAATTTCCCAAAAGTTCAACGAAAATGTTTTAAAAGCATTCATAGTTCTATCCCAC